TGGCTAACTTCTTCTGCCTGCGACTACTTGGGTTTCATTTCTCAACTCGATTCAGTTTCTTCCTGAGCTCTCGCCGTCTGAGTCTGTTCTGAGAAAGTATAATACGTACGTTTTTTCTCCGTGTCTTGGCAGGTGGCGGCAGGAGCCCGGGAGGTCTCGATCTTTGGGGCGGCTTCAGAGCTTTTCACAAAGAAAAACATCAACTGCTCCATAGAGGAAAGTCTGGAAAGGTTTCGCGATGTTCTGAGCGCAGCGAAAGAAGCCAGCATCCCAGTCCGAGGGTGAGTGTCGGGAATGCAGATGGACGCAAACTGCTGATTCGGTGGTTCATGCAGGTTCATCTGACAGCCCAACTGGTGTTCCGCAATTCGGTGCCCTGCCCCCTCCAGTGGTTGCCCACTCAGAAGCCATGCCCGGAGGAGGTGGAGCAGGAAAGCCAGGGCGCCAAACACCCATTGGGCTATTGGCCAAGCCGGCACAAACAGCCCATCTCTGATTAAGAACATATTTTGACTTGGGGGGCAGTCAATTTACTTTACGTCTCCTTGAGTTTTCCGGAGAGAAGGGTGGCAGGTTTGGAAGGAAAGAGAAACTCAGTTTTGCTGGGTGTAATAAAACTTATTTGCTTCTTCTGCCGGCAGGTATGTGTCCTGTGTCCTGGGCTGCCCGTATGAAGGGAAGATTGCACCTTCGAAAGTTGCAGAGGTGAGTTGATGGATAATCAGAAGGGGATCTTGTGAGGACCCCTGTGTGCCCCTGCAGGATTATCCAGGGTGTTTATGGGAAGTGATGGGTTAAACCCCCTCATTAAAGGTCACAGATATGTGGGAAGAGCAAAAAAGAGTTTTTTCAGTGGTTTAGGTCTCTGGCTGCAAAGCCAAAGGTTTGGAGTTTAGTTCCCTCATTGTCCCTCCTGGGAGAAGAGCCAGCCTGGGTAGCCTTGGGCCAGCTGCATGTTGGTCCCAGGGCACCCCTTTGATGGCACATCATGACAAAAAAAATGGGCTTTTGATCTCCTGCCTGTCATGCAGGGGTTACAATGCTAACTTGAGAAAGAGGCTTCTTTGTAAGGTTTACACAACAGCGGTTGCAAAATGATACGGACACCAAGAGTAGCGTGTTTACTGGCATTGGAGATGCGAAGACGAACGACTGAGTGTTTCTCAACTGTGAGAAAGCTGGTCACATTTGGAAATGAATTTGTTCACCTACAAACGTGCCGTTGTCTGTGACAGGTGTCCAAGAAAATGTACGCAATGGGATGCTATGAGATTTCCCTTGGCGACACCATCGGCGTTGGAACTCCTGGTGACATGAAGGAGATGCTTTCTGCCGTCATGAAGGAGGTGCCGGTTGAAGCGCTGGCCGTCCATTGCCACGATACATACGGGCAGGCGCTTGCCAACACGCTGGTAGCCCTTCAGGTACGTTCCTTGTCAGTCAGTGTTCTGGGCTGCGCGGTTCAAAACCGAGCATGGTCATGTGAATTGGCTTAGGAATTGTTCATCTGGTCTGGTCCACATGGCAACCCCAGGCTGGTCAGTGCTGCTGGCCAGCCTCTCTTGGCGTGGGAATTATTCTCTGGTCCTTCCAAAGGGGTTCGGAGTCACTTGCAAGGTCCTCCCACAAAGATCTAGAAAAAGTAAATGTCCACAGCCTCTCTAATGTCTGCCCATGGCACAGTGGTTAAACTGCAGCGAAGACTCTGCTCACAACTTTGAGTTTGACCCCAGGCTCAGATAGCCAGCTCGAGGTTCACTCAGCCTTCCATCCTTCCGAGGTTGGTGAATTGAGTACCCAGCTTTCTGGGGGCGGGAAATTGTGTAGCCTGCATAATTAAATTGTAAACCACCCAGAGCGAGCCTTGCGCACTTGCAGGATGGTATAAAAGCAGCACGTGTTGCTTTTTCCTTTGCGTGCCTCTCCAGAATTGGATCTTTAAAACCATAGCCATTTCTTCTGAGGAAACCGGGACGGTGAACTGAGTTTTGAGGGAGAGAAGGGTGCTGTCTCGGTCTTTGAGGTCTAGTTCTGGCCACATGCTCGGAACCGATGAGACGGTAATCTTGCAGTCCCACTCATAGGCGAATTCTTCTGTTTACAGATGGGGGTGAGTGTGGTTGATTCCTCCGTCGCTGGTCTGGGAGGCTGCCCTTACGCACAAGGTGCCTCCGGAAATGTGGCCACCGAAGACATGGTATACATGCTTCACGGTCTTGGCATTCACACGGTAAGTAGGACGTTACCTCCGTCCTGTCTACTCAGCTAGAAATAGACTACTTTCTCTCCTGTTGGAAAAAAGGAAAATGGGAAACCAGTGATTAAACTCTGTTTAGTTTATTGAATCGCCTGCCTGTTTACCAGTCCATCAGAATCCAAATGAATTTTCATATATTACTCAAACCACAGCATGCTTTAAAATGTCGGTGTGGAATGTTTACATTTCATAAACAAGAGCTACCGTTGCTCATTTGAAAGAAAAATCAGTTTTAATAATTTTTTGATACTTCTGAAAACCAAGTATTCCCCCTCCTCCCCACCGCCGCCCAGTAGACCGTCCCTTATTGCTTTGTTTTCCTCAACTGGCACTTACTGTCTCATTAACTCACTCAGAGACTCTGGTAAGAAAAAAAGCATACAAGGTTCCATTTACTCACCATTCAGGACAGATTAAAAACAAACAACATTCTGTAGAAAAATATTAATTGGTGACTGGTTAACAGAGCATAACTGGTTAACTAGCTTCATGATTAACTCGCTTAATGGCTGATTTGACTACATAGCTCTGTCTTCAGACAGACTTCATTGCTAATTGACAGAACACCTCTGATGGAAGGGGGAAAAAGAGTTGGGAAAAAGAGACTTGAGTAGAGAGGCAGGGAAGAAATAATTGGCTGCTACTGGATTGATTGATTGATTGATTGATGGTCACTCAGTCCAGAAAGGTCCCTCCCAGCCTCTTAGATGGAGCCGAGGAGGGTGCAGTAATCCCAACGGGAATCGTGACTTGAAACCTTGCAGAGCTTTGCCCTTCTAGAGTAGACAGTACTCAGCCAGATTGACTAGTGGTTTGACATTAGATAAGCCAGCTTTATTGGTACAAAATAAGCAGCACCGTCATGTGTATTTCCCCCTCTCCCCCCCCCACTTTCTTCTCTCCTGTGAAGGGCGTGGAGCTACCGAAACTCCTTGAAGCAGGCGCGTTTATCTGCAAGACACTGAACAGGAGGACAAACTCCAAAGTGGCCCAAGCATTGTGCAAACTCTGACTTGGATCCGTGCCTTTATGGAACTTCTCGGGAGCAGAACTGCACTGGCGATCAGGAATCTGCCCCGGTGGCACTTGGTTGCCTGGCTACGTCTAAGCACTCGTCAGCGGCCGCGTGAGTGAACCAGCAAGAAGATGGAAACCTGGTGGTATCGCTTTGAGAACGACTGTTTTTTCTCTCTCATTGGAAACACAAAGGAGCAACGTCATTCCTGGGCAAGCCGTTCTTAAATCCTGGTTTCGTCTCTTCCTTGCGCCTGGAGCCTCGAACGCGGTTCTGTCGCTGTGGCGACGGCGTTCTCCGAGGCTTTCTCCGGAATTTTCTTTTATTTAAGTTATGGAGGTTTTGGTGGGTCATGAGGAAAAGCAATGGATTTTTGTATTTGGTTCCCTACTTTTTATTGGGGGGGGGGCAGGGATTCCCAGGCTGCAAAAATAAAAAAATAAAAAAACACAAACCAGTTAAAGGCAACACTCTCTAGATTGGAAAGAAAAAAAACAACAACCGCTAAATATTTTTGCATGGCTGGCAGACGGCAGAATTCTCCTCTAAGCAAAACTCTTGACTTCCTGAAGATTCATTTTTGGAGGACAAACTTTCCTCATTGCCGATTCCCTGTGGCAGAAGCATTCTTAGATATACGATAGAGCTTCTACCTTCTTCTTCTCTGTGTTCCTTCTCATCCCAGGGGGGGGGTCACAAACTGTTTTCTGGGGTTTCGTGGGTCACCTTATATGAGTCGTAGCCCTTATTACATCATTTCTTCCTTGACCTTTCAAAGTGGAATATTGAAGTTAGTGTATGAGAAAGACGCCCCTTGGGGGAGAAAGACGCCTCCGCTTTTCTGAGAAGGGTTCAGTTTACCCCGTTAAAATGTCTTTTTATGCAAAGAGGGTGGGAGAGGTGCAAGGCTACTTGGCGATGATAAAAGGGGGCCACAACTCAGAAAAGTTTTGGAACCGCTGCCCGAGACAAACAAACAGCGAGGAAGGACTCCTTGGATGAAAAGATAGAAGAGAAGTGTAATGAATGAAGTGAATTCTTCCTCCCATGCCAGAAATGTGTGGGTCAATGCAAAATTTCAAGGGTAAGGAACGCATGAGAAGCAAAACAGCTGCCACTGAGAGATGACCCCCTAAATTTGCTTAGCAGGCAACAGATCAAAGAAAGGAGTCAATATTGTTAGTGGGTGACCTACCTAATATCCCCCACATTATCCCTGTAGCAAAAGGGGTGACAATGCTTACACATTTCTTTAAGGCAGGTACACAATGTCAATGGGCATAGGGGATCACGTTCTTAAACCCTAGACCTCACCAGGCTCAGAAACTGCTGAAACGGTCATTAGAAATGAATCGTAACAGTAAATGTACAGACAGATGCTTCGGCTGTTTTATTTCGGGAGTTGGGCTGATCTTGGAGAACTATCACAACATTTGGAAGGTTAAAATTGCCTACAGGAGCGGGCTTTTTGGTCAGAAATAAATTTTGTGCATTTAAAAAAAACTTGAGGTCTGGCATGGACTCCAAAGGAAGACTTCAGTCTTTTCTAAATACAAAACATTAGTTCTGCAATCTTCCTTTATAACAAGACTTTTAAAACTAGGCCAGTATTAGTATCTCCCATCTTGGCTCATCTTTGTTGGCTCCGTGAATCTCCGTGCTCAGTTCGAGATGCTAGTTACCGCCTATAAAACCCACAGTCTCTCAGAAATCAGCTATCTGTTTCACCCCTGTCTCTCAAACCAGGTTGCTAAAAGCAGCCACGCTGAGGGAGGGCCAAAAAAGGTGACAACAAAAAATTGGGCCTTTTTGGTGGTGGCCCCCCCAATCTTTGGAACAAACTTCCGGCGGAACTTCCACCAAGCTTTTCCCCTCCTGATATTCAGGAAATTAGCAAGAGCAGAATTGTCTCTGGCAACTGGCTGTAAGGATGCTAAAAATCGTACATACACAGCCGTTGAACCAGGCAGAGACTGAAAGAAATGCAGACGTTTCCCAGTTCTGGGACCGAACTTAAGGGTTGAGGGCTGAAGGGGCAACCCCGTTTGTCCCCCTGGAAACCTTAAACCTCCTGCCTGGCTCCATTCTTATACGACTCCCCTCCGCCACACCAATCTAGAATGGCTAAGAATCGAGACTTCTGTATTTGTAGGGTGAGGGTGTGACGTGGAGAACAAGGGTGCTCTGCTTTTTGTGACTTGCCCTCCATCACTCACGAACCCACCACCCTTGGGGAAGCTGCAAGGGTCGCTGTGTCCCAGAGGCAGCTGTTTTGCTAAATCTCTGGTTCCCAGAATCCGGAAGGAGAACTGTGATCGTGGGGATGCCGTACAAACAGTTCCCAAAACCCTGTTGAGGTGACGGCCAACATAGGCCAATCCAGAGGTCACAAAGCGTGTGCAGAGTCCCGCCACCATGATACACAAGCTTCTGGACACCTGATCATGAGATGAGATGCTAAAAGCATGCAACATGGTGTGTGTGTGTGGGGGACGAAATGGAAAACGGGGTGGAAGGTTCATCCAGGGTGTGCGATGGAGGAAGGATGCAGTAGACCAAGGAATAGGTCTCCTCAGGTGTTGCAGCGTGGTTTATTTTCACCTGAGGCCCACAGACTCACTGAAGACTAGAAACTTGGAAACTTCAGGTTGCTCATTTTAGAACTGATAGATAGCTCGGTACTTTAGGTTTCTGGCTGTGAAGAGGTTTATTTGTTTGTTTGGTTGGTTCTTTGTTTATTTACTTGGGAGTTCAGTTCCCCACTGTGCCTCTTTTACAGGGGCTGGGCTCCGTGACCCACAGAGTCCCTTCCAGCTCTGCAGTTCTAAGATGATGATGATGACGACGCCAATGTAAATACCCCGCCACAAATTCGAAATGGCAGCCCTCGAACCTAGAGGCGGCGCCTCAGGAAAACCTGGGCGTTTTCTCATGGGCTTTTGTGGAAACTGCCTGGGCCGCGCAGAGGCCTCGCCGGACTACAAATCCCAGGATTCCAAGGGAGGGAAGCAAAGGCGGGTTTGTCAGCCGCCACCAAAGGCGAGAGACATGGAGGAGGCGGACAAGACGCCGTCCCTTGGCAGAGGCGCCCTCCAGAAGGGGCCGCGGGGCTGGAGGAGGGGAGCCCGTCTTCTCAGGAAAGGGGGGGGGGGGGGTCGGC